TGCCGCTCCTCCGGGACCGGGAGCATTCCTCGTATACTCCCATAAATTTTCGTACTTTTTTGTTGATGTGGCTCCATTTGGAAGTGAGTTGGTCACGGGTTCGGTAGGAGCCGTCCTTCTTCATCGCCGTGAAGAACTTCTCCTCGATACGATCCCACATCGCATCCTTCGTTTGCTCCGTACCTTTAAAAAAGTATATAATTATTTTTTTTGACACCATTAAATATAATATATATAAATAGAAATATAAATATATTAGAAAAAACAAATTTTTTACCAATGATGGGATGCTCGGAGACGTCAACCCAAGCCGACGCCAATATGCACTCCTCCTCCGGCGTCCACTTTTGGATTGCCCGTGCCGCATCGGTCACCGTGGTTTTGGCTTTGTGGCTCCTCCGGCGTGTACTTTTTTTCGAACCGGACGGTTCCGGTTGAGTCTCCGGAACCGAATCTCGGTCGACGTACCCGGATTGTTGCGTCTCGAATATCGGCGGTCGATCGCCCCACTCTTGGTAGAACCACATCGCGGCGTCACTCGGGGGGAGATTGTCGGGATTGAAGCCGGAGCCGAAGGATTCATGATGAATAAAAATAGAGTAATTTCGAATTTTGAAATTAGAAGAAGAAGAAATTGAGAAGATGAAGTGTGAGAGATTGAGAGGAGGAGGGTTTGAATTTATAGGAAAAAATAATAATTTTTTTTTTAAATTTGTAACGGCTTTCTAGCCGTTGGGGAGGGGGAGGGAATGAATGACGCCGCGTCATTCCTTTGACGCAGCGCCCGCGACGCCCCATCACGCCCGGAGGGGGGCGGTGTTTAACGCCGCCGGGGCATTAAACGCCCCATCACGCCGGGGGGCGTTGCGGGTATACCCAGTGCTCTAAGGGATGTTTGCCATCCTTGGAGGGACTTGCTTAGTTATTGCCTTATCTCCAACCCTAGGCTGGATGATTTCTTTTTCTTGGACTAGTTTATTATCCGTCACAAAACTTTTTTTCTTTCTTTTTTTATTCGTCTAAAAAAATCTCTCATTTCGATTCAAAAATCACTTTTACCCCTACTAACTCTTAACCTCTACTATTGATCTATCCACCACATCTCAATTTTATCTATTATATTCAAAGGCATTTTTAAAAAGTCAACACCAAAATACACTTTTCTTAAATTTTTTATAAAATTAAAACCAAGAAAGTGTTGTGAGATAGATGGAGTATTTGTTTTTGTTGGGTAGCTTTTTACTTAATTACTACTTCCTCTATCCAAAAATGCTCTTACTCTATTAATATGACACACTTATTTAGGAGTCAAAAAAAAGGTGACCAACTTCTAAGAATGTCCCTACTTTAATTTAGGGGTGAATTCTAAATTAAATTGGGTGGGTGTGAGTTAAAGTCGAAGGGTCCTACTGATATTTAGCCTTAAAAGTAAGCTAATAATGGAACATAGAAAAATATTTCAGGACAGATAAAAAAATGAGAAGATTATTTTAAGACAAAGGTAGTATCAAGATTTAGAGAATCTAATTTTTTTAGACGGATGGACTACATCCTAATCAGTAATCTATATACTGGGTAGTTTTTAAATATAGATTATAAAATTTTTATTTTTAAATTTTTCATATATTTTCAAATAAATTAATTATGAAATTATTTCATTTAGTTATAAATTTTGAAGTGAGTGAGTAATATCGAAAAATAAATTCTTTATGTAGTTGTAAGGTGTACTCTTTTTACCTTTGAAGTTTTGAACCTAAGTATTGAAACACAACTCCAATTGGAAATCCAATCAATTTAAAAAAAAAATCATTAAATATGGATTAATGGATGGCAAATTGGCAATGAATTATAATGCCGGTATAAATCGAGAAACCAATACTCCATCTTCAGCAGCATATAGCCGGGTTCGTCTTCCCCAAATCGCAATTCCACGTCTCCCCTTCGACCTTATCGTCCACCGTCGTTTCCATTGCGCTTCCTCGTAAGCAATTTTCAGGTATGATTCGAAACCCCTAATTTCGGATCCAGAACAAGTCTCCAACATTCGAATTTCTCGTTTCTCGCGCACCATTGGATTTTTCTATTGCCTTACAGACTAGCTTTGAGTTTATGCTGTTCAATTGTTCTTTGTGCTGTTGGTTTTGATACTCTCAGAGGTTGTTAGGGTTAGGATTCTGATACTTGTAGTCAATTGTTCTAGTTCTTAGGGTTAGCATTTTTTATTTTAATTGCATAATTTTTATTTATTTTAACCGATTTTGTAATCAATTTTTAATGTTGGAACAATACATAGACATTTAGGCTCTAAACAAATCCTTTTTACTAAAATTGGAGCATTAAAAACTATCCAAGTTCAAACGATCAAGCGATTACAGGAACAAAAATAAGTAGTTAATTAATGTTATAGAATATAGTCTAGTTCGTGCAAGGCCAGCGAATCCTCGGGTCCGGCCTGTTTTAAGATATGAATTGAATACAACCCTCTCAACCTCTGTTAGGAAGATTCTCCAACCCCTCCATTGTCGCCACTAGACTCCTTCGCAATACCACTCCGGCCGTCAGTCTCACACAGTAGTGAGGGGCTTAGGGCTTGTTCTCTCCACATGATTTAAATGGTTTTGATATGATTGGAATAAGTTCTGATCTATTCTGATCTGGTCTGATCTAATTGTAATTGTATTTAAAGCTGTTTCTGATCTGATTCCGATAAGAGTAAGTATTATGTTATAAGAATAAGTTAAAGAGAATAAGCTCTTAGCAAAACCAGTTTCTCTATGTCAACTGGTGTGGTCTTTATGCTCAACACATAATTTAAGTAATTTTATCTAATTATTTGATGATAACATTTCACAAATTCATTTTTTGGCATTATTCTAAGGGGTTTTTAAATAGGTTGATTACATTGGGATGTGGGTGATTTAAACAAGTTGGATTCCAGAAATTGAATGTTGTTGGGTTTTGCTTGTTCGATTTAACATCGGGTAGGAGACGAATGATTTAACTATTAATTATGGACCTTTGGTGTATAATTGTTAGATGATTTAATTACGAGTTCTGTTTGTAATTTTGAGGTTTATTAGGCGAATTTGCACGTGCATACGGTTGTAATATTCTTGTTTTGATTGAGGTTGAAGGGTTTGCTCTGCTTTTAGTCTTTGATGCAGAACTTTTTAAAAAAAAATTGATTACCAAATCCTTTCTGCAGATCCTCTCACAAGTTTATTTCTTTGGGAAACAATGACTGCTGTTTAAACTGTTTTGGTGAATTAAAATAGAAACGCTATTTATAAGTAGTATCTGTGTGAAATTCATTGTTACTCAAACTCTACCGGTTTGAAATATCTGAAATGTATGAAGGGTTGAAAATTTCTGAATGTATAAATGCATGTAATAAAAAACCTCTATCGGCTTGTGGATATTCTAAATTTACAATGACATGTAATCCAAAGACTTTCGAATAATTCTTACCCTAAGTTAACGAAATTTGAATTCCTTTATATATCTCTGCTGTTCTAGTTTTTAAAATGTTGTTTTTTGTAAATTATTTCATGAACAATCTTAATATGTTGATTGGGACATTGACCGTTGGTTGAGGCTGAATCAGGATGGTCCATGTGGTGTTTTGGTGCCTATGCATACTGATACTACCTAACATCCTGACATTGAATAAGCTTATGTTTATGCAGAATGATATTACCTAGCATTGATTTATGTTAAGCACGTATGCACATTGCACACACACCAACACATGCAGTTATTCTGAATTCTGAGTACAATTTTTTTTTGCTTATCTCTATCTATAACAGGTAGCAAAGCCATTTATGAACTTTATTCTGTTTTACGTGCATCTGACACAGGTACATTAACATATCACCACCCTGTGAGGTGTTTGTGACTGCATAACCACACAAGATGGGGAAAAATGATTTCTTGACCCCCAAAGCCATCGCGAACAGAATAAAAGCTAAAGGGCTGCAGAAGCTGCGATGGTATTGCCAGATGTGCGAGAAGCAATGCCGAGACGAGAATGGGTTCAAGTGCCACTGTATGAGTGAGTCCCACCAGCGCCAGATGGAGGTGTTTGGGCAAAACCCTAACCGGATTGTCAGTGGCTACTCTGAGGAGTTTGAGAGTGCATTTCTTGAGCACATGAAGCGCAGCCACCGCTTTAGCCGTGTGGCTGCCACGGTTGTGTACAATGAGTACATTGCTGATCGCCATCACATTCATATGAATTCCACCGAGTGGGCAACTCTGACCGAGTTTGTCAAGTATTTAGGCAGGACTGGGAAGTGTAAAGTTGATGAGACTCCAAAGGGGTGGTTTATTACTTACATAGATAGAGACTCCGAGACCCTTTTCAAGGAGAAGATGAAAAACAAGCGGAAGAAGGCTGATATTGCAGAGGAAGAGAAGCAAGAGAGGGCAATTAAGAGACAGAGGGAGCGGGCAGAACAGTTGTTGACGAATAGTGAAGATTCTGAGCAGATCTTGATGCCGGGAAAGTTGGAGGGTGATGATCAGAAAGTGAAGTTGTCTCTGGGCTCATCATCAAAACCACCCAATGATAAAGACAGACCCGATAGCTCCTCAAGATCTGTTTTTGATGTGATGGATAAGCCTCTGAAGAAAAGTGGAAAAGATACTGTAGCAAAGTTGGGGGATAAGGGTGGTGGGGTGTTGGATGAGCTGATGAGAGAGCAAGAAGAGGCAAAGGAACGACATAATAGGAAGGATTATTGGTTATGTGAGGGAATAGTCGTGAAGGTTATGAGCAAGGCCTTAGCCAATAAGGGATACTATAAGCAAAAAGGTTCTGTTAGGAGGGTAATCGACAAGTATGTTGGCGAAATTGAAACCCTTGAAAAGAAGCATGTCTTGAGAGTTGACCAGGAAGAGCTTGAAACTGTAATCCCCCAAATTGGCGGTCTTGTGAGGATAGTTAACGGGGCTTATCGTGGGTCAAATGCAAGGCTGCTAGCCATTGATACAGACCATTTCTCAGCCAAGCTTAAAATTGAGAAGGGTATATATGATGGGAAGGTTCTCAAGGCCATTGACTATGAAGACATTTGCAAACTCGCGCAATGAGAATCACCGTTGACTACACAGGTGACTTTTTCTTCCTGAGTGACTGATCATTTCTTCCGAACAGTATTACTCGTCATCCTTTGTTTACCATTGCATGCTCTTTGAAAAACATTTCCATGTCTATTATGTCCTAAATCACTTTTCCTAAGGATTCAAATAAAAAAAGAGATCACATTGGTCCTTATTGTGCATTTCTTTCCTAGTGTTTTGTTACTCATTTCTTTCACTGTCGTCTGTCGGGTTTCGAGAGTCTTTATGTCATGCTTTGCTTTATAGGCTCCAGTAGTATGACGGACCTGAGGTGGTGGTTTGGAACCGTTTGAATTGAGGTATCCTAATATGTGTACGGAACTTCTGAAATTTGGGTCTGAATGGGAATCTTGTTTTAGCTCATCCAAAATACTACATCCGTTCCAGTCATTTGTCTAGTTTGACTTTTTCGAGTCAAATTAGACAAACTTTGAGCTTCAATTATTCTCAATTTGTATTGCATATTTGTACGATGAAATAAAATTTTGAAAATTCTCAACGAGATAAATCTAATAAAATGAACTTTATATTAATATACATTACTCGCACAATTTTTGTTGACACTGATGTTAGGATGACACCTACGGTGCTTCATTGAGTCCGGAATGGGGTACCCCCAACCCCACCACACTCCTCCTTCCCCTTAGGGCACCCACATTGGATGGTGGAGTAAAGGGAGGACTACTCCACATCAGCTTTTGTGGACCCAATACACAACTTCTCCATTTACTCCTCCTGATCTTCTACATCAAAAGGATTACTAAAATACTATTCATTATGTGACTTAAAAGATTTTATTATTATTTAATACTTATACTATCTACAATTATTTTAATTTACAATTTGACGAAAAATAACTAACCCCAACACACTTATGTTATGACAAAAAACCATCACAAAAATATAAAAGTAAATTTATTTTTACAAATGAATTTGTAAATGTTTAGTTCTGGTAAAAATAATTCTAAATTTTTTAAATTCTTTTCTAAAAATTTATTTATGGTAAATGTATAGAAAAAAAAGAAAGAAAGAGTACATGTTAAAAAAAGGAAGAAAAGTGTGGATGTCCACATGCTATGAAAGGGTTGGCCCAACTCTTTCAATTACTACTCCTTTCAATGCGTGGAGTCATCATGGAGTAGAAAAGTCCTCCGCCTAAGTGACCAACGCCCTTTACCATGAACTTGTGTCCAACGGAGCTAAATGATGATGTGTCTTACTCTCTTAGTCCTAACTTAAATTGTCTGTTTCTGTTTATAATATTTGTTTAAAGTTTTTTTTAAAAATAATTTATTAGAGAATTGAAATAGAATTAGAAAAATAAATTTTACATTTTAAAAAAATCAAAAGCTTTACAAAAACAAAAGATAACATGAATATATTATTTTATTAAATGAAAGGGAGAGAGTATTAGTTTATAAGTTTATTATAGCGTTATGCCAATATAAAAAGTTACACTCAAACAAAAACGAAAAGAATAAGATAAAATGCTTCCTCTCCTCCACAAAATATCTGCCACTCAACATACAACGTATGACTAGAGTTATTTTTAATTGAATTTATATGACAAATGATGTAAGATTATAAAATATTAAGGTGTACAACTTATATATTTTGAACAAATCAAAATTTATATAAAATAAAATATCTGATGGATATTTTAATTTATTAAATGATTAATAAAAACATACTTTGTTCATATATTTTCTTCTCATTTGATCGGTCAAAAGTAAGAAGATACTCCCTTTATCCCCAATTTGAATACAAATTGGTATATCAATAAGAAATAAAAATTATACTCCGTATATTAAAAAACAACGTCAAAAGTTTTACAACACAACATATGACAAGAATATTTTATTTTATCAAATATTTCGGAAGTAAAAACATAAAATTTCTGTTTTAATATATTTTTAATTTTTACTCATGCTTTCGATTTTTTATTTTGAAAATAATAGATCAAAGGTCGTAAACAATAATATGTGATTAAATAAAAAGAGGGGAGCTAATTTTTTTAAAAAAAATTTGAAGGTTTAAAAAATTAATAGGGGAAATTGGCAATGGCGAAGGCGAACAAAACAAGCAAGAAATTGATGACATTATCCTTTTGTGGGAAGACTAATCCAACTGAAACAGAGGGAAATGGATTGAATCAGAATAACTACTCGAATTTCATCTCCATCTCCGCCGAATCTTGGCTACTTCTTGTTAATTCCAAAGGAAAACCGGTAACGAAAAGGGGAATTCTGGGGGCTAATGATCAGTTCCGGCGTCGAAATCCGTGAGGAAATCTGATCGCGAACAGAGTAGCAACAGTTGTATGGATTATCACTGATTCAGAATCGGAATCGAAGCTCGAAAATGGGCAGTGAAGTGGAAGAAGGTGAAGAAGAAGCAGAAGAAGAAGAAGAAGAAGAAAAGCGGCCGCCTGATCAACAGTTGCAGCAGCAGAAGAAGAATCGATCGTTGAAGAGTAAAGCAGCTCTCTTCGTATCTGATCTTACCACCGTTATCTTCAACCCTATCTCCGATTCCTTGCGCAAACCCGGGCCGCCCCTATTACCTGTAAGAATCAACTTTCCTTTTTTTTCATTCTAGGGTTTTGAATATATTCCTGTACCTTGCTGGATTGGATTTTTTTATTCCATTTTTTTCCTTTCCGGTTTTGATCATTTTTGCTAATTTTAATTTTTACTTCCGATTTGGTTATCTCCAACCCTTTGCTTAACACCAATTTTAATGCTGAAATTGTGTAAAAATCCAATCCAACAGTAATTTTCACCATTTTCACTCCAACAGTTTACACTATTTTTATCACCCCTAAAAAAGAGTATTCTCTATACAGATTCAGCTTTACCCCAAAAAAGTTCAAAAAAAGAAAGAGTTGAGAAATGGCCCTATGAAAAGAGAAACACACACACACACACACACCAAAGAAGAATATTCTCACCGTTTTGACTTCAACGTTTTATGCAATTGAATATCAGAGACTGTCTGATGTTTATCTTGCCTGGAGGAATGCTCTGTCACTCTCTCACCATTACCAAACTTTTGCGTTTCGTTCGGTATAATTTGGATACAAAATTGAGGATTAACATGTGTTTGATGATCAAAGAGTTTGGAGGTGTTCTGGGATAAAACATTGCCAAAACAAAACTGAATTAACATATGGCTTGCATTTTTTTTTGTTTTTGTCCTTTAAATTAAGACACTTGTTAAAAATAAAATCAAAGAGTTGATAAATGGACCCTATTGAGAACATGCTTAATTGATGATCATATGTGTACGTATGGGTTTTGGTGTTATAGGAAGATATATCATCAGACTCTGAGAAAAGTAAACCAGAGTCAGACGAGGAGGGTCCCCGGGATATATCTGGCGGTCCTGATACATCATCATTTACAGCCTTCCTGTATTCCCTACTCTCAAATACAAAATCTGGGACCCACTCTAGTGTAAAAGGAAACAATGAGAAGGATGATAATGAAGCCGAGCCATCTGAACCAATCGGGAGAGGTATACTCTCAAGGGGAAAACAGACAATAGGGAGAGCCTTTTACCAATTTTCTAGGTTGGGAGGGTCCCAAAATAAGGGAAATTCTGATGAGACGGGGGTGATTGAAGACAAAGGTAATTCCAAAGGCGATAGAGATGAGGAGGGGATGATTATGAAAAATATGAAAGAGGGAGGACCGTTGAGCAATCTTCCTGAAATCTCTGAACCCTCATATCTTCTCTCAGAGAAGACACGAATGGCTCTTTATGCTGCACTTCCTGTCATTGTTAAGGACCGGAATTGGGTGATGCTATACAGGTATGATTTATTAATTGTTTCTTTTTTTAAGCTCATAAGTGATGCTATTTTAGCCTCACATTGTTAACTTTTGCTAAAAATCATCCCTAGTAATATCTCTCGGTGGCAATTTTAGTCCCCCCTCTTAACGGCATGGAATAAAATTGCTACAGTTATTGACTAAGGCTGTTGCAAATACTCTGTTTGGTGGACTAGAGAAACATAAAAGAAATGAAGAGAGAACAAAGATTGTGAGGAGATATAAAAAGGTGAGACGAATGGTGGATTTTGTGTATTATTTGGCAGAAGAGAAACAAGGGAAAACAAGAGAGAAACAATTGGTTTATTTTAAAATGATAAAATTAACTTCGAATTTTAACAAAAAAAGAGGATTAACATGGAAATTATAAAAAATACTTACCACAATAGAAGAGACTGACTCCAAAAAGCGGTGGTTCCCTCACTTTTAATTTCTTCATATGTTCTTTGCTCTCCAAAGTCCAAACAAGAGAAAAACTCCCTTTGTCTACCATTTCTCTCCTCCCTTTCAACCAGGATAATCTTTTCCAGGATTATCTAGGGACTAGAATTTCTCAAGTTGCAACTAAGGGACCACAAATGAAATGTACTCTTTTTTTCTTAAATAATCTGCATGCATTCCTGTTTTTCTTTTGTCATCCTCATATAGGGTTTTGTTTCTTTTTAATTGTTTTGGTTCAGTACATGGAGGAATGGCATATCACTTTCAACTTTGTACAGGAGAAGCATGCTATGGCCGGGCCTCAGTCTTTTGGTATTGTTCTTATTTGATCTGTAATAGAGTGCGTTACATTCTCCTGTTTCAGGCATGGGAATTATAGACGTATAGTTACCGTTAAAATGTTCAATAACGCTGATAATTAGAAGCAACATAATGCTGGTCAAAGATCAGAAGTGAGGTTTGATCAAGTAAGCTAATGACCCTCTATGTCTGAAAATTGCAAATAAGCCCATTGACTAGTTAGATTTATTGTGAATGTCATTCGATACTAAATAATACCCCGAGTATGATGTCAATGAGAATTGGTGTTCCATAATGCTTTTATCTACTATAGTAGTTAAACTTTTCTTCTCCAAAAGGATATTTGGAGCAAATACTGAGGGAAATTTACTCTTACAAACTCATTTTCTTACTACTCTCATTATACCATATCCATCATTCATTGTTTCTAGAAAATCTGATTAGTCAATGAGCTTATTTGTAGTTTTTAGAAACTTAGAGGCATTCAATAATCTGACCATAGCTCAGGCTAGGTAGATGGAAATATCCCTTCTGATAATTTTCTCCATGTCTTACATGATTTCAAATTTTTAGGTTGTAGGAGACCGTGATGGCACGGTATTTGGAGGGCTCGTTGAAGCACCCCTAAGGGCAACAACTAAGAGAAGATATCAGGTAATGGCTGAAAAGGACATTGACTTTAGTCCTCTTATAGTATGTGACTATTTAACGTGTTACTATGGCCTCTCTTTTGATCTTCGGTGCTCATATATAAACAGGGAACAAACGCTTCTTTTGTGTTCACAAATGTATCTGGAGATCCTATTATATTTCGTCCTACAGGTATTGCTTTCCTACATTTTTCCACCCAGCAATCACATTTACAGGACTACCCTCCAAATAAATTCCAGAGTACTATTTTCTATAAGGTACTTTAAATAATACTCCTTAATATAGAAGATTTCATTTGTTCACTATCAATAAGTTTATTTTTATTTAAAGTTTGAGAATATAAATGGAGAACTACTTTCCACATATAATCATCATCATCCCCACCCCAATCCCAACTAGTTGGCTTTAGTGGCATTAAGTTTATAATGTAAATTAATAAGCACTACAAATTCATGCAAAAAGCATAGTGGCTAGAAATTGATGCATTTCTTGTTTAAGATGCAGTTTATTGGAATAATTCATACGTAGGAGTATAATACGAGTACTTTTCAAATTCATGGATCATAACATTATTGTGAGAGGAGTTTTTAGTTATTAAACTAACAGCATGCTTCATCATATGCAGGTGTGAATCGCTATTATACTATGTGCTCCACCGACTACTTAGCATTGGGTGGCGGTGGTCATTTCGCGCTTTACTTGGACGGGGATCTGTAAGATTTTTATCTTGTCAATGAGACCTCGTATCCTTTATCTTTGTGGAGATTTTTTTTCTTTTCAATGCATAAATGAGTTATTTACAGCATGACGGGATCAAGTGCCGCTTCTGAAACATATGGAAATCCGTGCTTGTCATCCACTGAAGATTTCGTCGTGAAGGAGGTTGAGGTATTAACTGAAAGAATTTTCCTACTTTTTTGTCTTACTTTTGTTGGTTCTCAATTCTTTATTTTTTATTTTATTTTATTCACTTTTGGTGTTTAACTATATATGTGTCTTTTGCCACATTTGATCATCCCGGTCACTTATCCTGCCAATTTCCTTTGTGGGCTAAGTGACCGAATTGGACCAAAAGTGGCGAGCGATCTGTAATAATGCACAAAGTTGAACAAAAATGAAAGTTGAGGACCAAAATTGGGAGTGACCTCATTCTCACTAGGGACTTTAATTGAGACTTCACCTTTCTCATCTCAACCAAGTTTTTTTTAAAAGAAAGAGTGTGCTATACTTGACATCCTGCAAGATTATTGCTTCACTCCCCCCCCCCTCCCAATCTCTTCCAAACCATAAAACCCCTCATTGGATAGGCAATTTTACTTGATTTAAGGGTATATTCGTACTTTCAGTCGTACCATAATGTTTGTGCGTCTATATTTGAAATGCTGCAGCTGTGGGGTTTCGTGTCCGCATCAAAGTACGAAGAGATAGTGAGTCTTCTGAAAACGGAGGTGCCCGGAATTTGCCGGTGGTGAATATCGTGTTTTTCATAACTTGTGTGTGTGTGTTGTAAACCTCTTTTATCTTCAATGGCTATGGTTGTTAATATTTGGCCAACATTTTCAACAACAGTGTATATATTAGTCCCTACACTATTGTCATTTGGAAGTAGTCTTTTTTTTTTATTCTTCAATTTATTCCAGTTATCTAGACTCCAAACTATTACAGGGTACCATATTCCACACTCCGGATCCAGGTAGGTAAAATTTGATACTGGTACTCCCTCGAGCCTTAAAAAATGTACTTCATTAATTATTTGTTAAAATAATTTTTTTATCGTCACTGGTTTTATGGACTTTTTCATGAATGAATTCTGGACCAACCAGAGCATGTTTGCTCAAACTATGTAATATAAATCTGGTATTATAATTAATTAGAGAGGGAATAAATTTAACAAAAACTTAGAACTCCCCAACAATTTGTTCCACTCCATCCTTCCGACCCTTTGTTCGGAAAATGATGAGGAAAAAAGTTGATGGTTTGATTGTTGGAAAATGGTGTGAAAAAAGATTGAAAAGATGGAATAGGATTAAAATAGTGACGGGAGTTTTCATGTGGGATCTACGCGTAGTTTTTTCACCCTTGTCATTTTTCCCTTCTCTACCACACATTTTTATTTACTTATTTTTTAAATTTTTTTTTTGCCTTTTTTAGTGGACAAGGAGGGGAGTGTGGGATATATGGGGTACACCAAGGTGTACCCCTAAAGGTGTACCCCTAGCATTTTTCCCAAAACAAATATCAGAAAATGCTTCGTTTTATGTGTTTTCCTTGCATTTTCTTTCCTTCCTCTTTCTCACCTTCCAAACGATAGTCTAACGTTAGGATATCTTCAGAAATAAGTTGAATATAATTTGCCTTTGTTGGAATGATAATGAATACTCAATACTCTTTGCATCTAAAATTATAGTACATATTCACTATTGACAAAGTTGTGAATTAAACTCTTCCTCCACTGCAAAAAAATCAAAACGAGAAAAAATATAGTACTCCCTCCGTCTCTAAATATTCACAACATTTGCTTTTTCAGCAGTGTCGGAAACTTTTGTTTATTTCGACGTTTTCATTGATTATTTGATAAAATAAAATATTCTAGACACCTCTTATTTCGAAAAACTTTTCATGTTGTTTTTTTATATGTAAATTTTATTTTTTATTTCTTTACCAATATGTAAATAAAATAAATTGAAAAAACTTGATATTTTGCCTCGGGAATATAAATGTGGCAAATGATTTGGGACGGAGGGAGTAATTCGGAAGCAATCTAGCATAGATTTAGTTTGGAAGTGAACATATGTAACAAAATGGCACCTTATATAAAAAAAATTTACCACATGTCTTCTTCACTATAAAATGGTTAATCAATTACTAACTTTGTTCCAGTGTATTTGTCTTGTTTGACTTTTTTGAGTTAACTTTGACCAATTTTATGATTCAATCATTCTCAATTTGTATTGCATATTAGTAGGGGTGTTCATGTTTAGGTCTGGACCGAAAAAATCGATCGAATCAGACCGTTAGGTCCAGACCAAAATTGGACCGAACTAATATCGGGTCGGTCTTCGGTCCGGAATATTTATGATTTCGGGTTTCAGTCTGGTCCATACCGGATTACCATTAGGTCTGGACCTAGAGACCTAAAAAACCTACTACGTATAACCTCCTAATATCCACAATCTCCATCTTCTTCGTCCTTCTCCACCCGATTGATTCGCACCTTCCTCCATCTTCTCAACCCGTCACCAATTTCGGCAGCTGTCATCGATTAGCCAGTCGCCACCACACTCATCTTCTCCGACCTCCAACAGTGTCGGCAATCACTGCCGATGCCCCACAATCCACTTCCGTGGGATGCCTTTCCTCTCTTACTTGATAGTCGATTCACAGGTTAGGAAGTTTTCAATTTTACTTTTGAATAAACCACCCAATTTTTTAAAGGTTTGTTCTATTAAGGCTAAATAATAGACAAAAAGACATGCTACATCAAGGATGTGATCCCTTTTCTCCTCTCCAGTTTGTAATCCAAGGACCGTTTTTTTTTTTGTAAAATTGTATGCTGTACTTTTTTTTATACAATTGAATGATGAAGTTTTATCAGTTTGATACAATTGCATCTCTAATTCCCTATGATGATTTGTGAGGAATTGTTATTTTTGGTTCAATTTTGGAAGGAATCTAAGTTACTGCAATTTTTTTATATACAATTGCATGATGAAGTTTTTTCAGTTTATAACAAATGCATCTCTAATTTCCCATGATGATTCATTGGTTTGTGATGAACTGTATTTTTTTGGGTATAATTAGTGTTTTTTTCGGTCTTTTCTGTCCATACCGGTCCGGTCTGAGGGATCTTGGTCCGGTCCGGTCTAAAACCGAACAATTATAGGTCCGGTCTTCGGTCCTAATTTTTTCCCATTTCGGTCTTTGGTCCGGCCCAATTTGGTTTGGTTCGGTCCGGTCCTGAATTGATGAACACTCCTACATATTAGTACTAATATGCATATAAAATTTGATATATTTATAGAATCGCATCCATATTTTCTAATATTTGGTTATTTTAATACTGATTATTTAGTTTTCACAAAGATTAAAAAAATAGTGATATTGAAAAAGGATGTTTAATATTTAAAAAAAGTTTAAATATATCAATGATTAGCTGATTTTCTTATATTACTTTTTTTTAATATATATATGAATTGTAATACTTTAAAACTAATAAATTTTGTAACAATTTTAAGTTTAATCAAAATTGAATTTAAATTCATTTACACTAGATCTAATTAGATAAAATTAGATGCAATCGTATCTGATCAGATTCAATCAGATCCGATCGGGTTCAATAAGATCAAATCAGACTGAAGAATTAGATCAAATCAAATCCAATCGAACCGAGCCTAAATTTCATTTTCATTTTTGTTAGGTATATACAAATTGGGCTAAATAGATTGAAGTTGACGCAAGCTTGGAAGAGAAAAGAAAAATAGATGTAGGCAGAATTGGCCCAAAGAAAGAATAAAGGTGAGGGGAAGGTGGGGAAAACCCTAAACAGAGCACACACCCTTCACTTCCCTTGGCGGCTTGGCTGTTGCTTCATTCGCTTCGGCGGGAGTCCGCCCCCCTTGGGATCTTAGCTTTTGCCTTATTCATTTATATTGATTTTTAATTTATTTCTTGTTTGTGTTGAATAAAAGCTGCAATCAGTTCATTTTTATGTGGTTGATGAAGATGAATAGGGTCCTTGTCTTCAGATCATCATCACTATCACCAATAAATATGCTGATGATGATAATTGAGGTGAAACTGCCAGGTATTTTTTGTCATCGTGGAATCGCTAGCGGTAACCCTTCTAGTAGACCTCTTCATTACCAGTCATTGCTTTACATTCCTTTGGATGAATATCCTCATCACGCTGCAGCTAATGCGTATATAAAGTCAATGACTTTGAAGTTTTTTAGGCATCCAAGTTGCTGCTATGCCCATACAACAGATTTCACCTTCACATTGTTGGCTGGTATCTTCAAGCGGGGTTTTGCCCTTGATACGGTTTTGATAAACGCTTTGATTCAGCGTCTCTTTGGCATTGGTTTGGAAGAAGATGCTTATGACTTATTCATCATGTTAACAAAAAAAACTTGTTTCAACCCAATGCTGACACATTCTTAACACTATGTTTGTTTGGAGGTAGGGGGAGGTAGCGAGAGGTAGATTAAACTTTCTACCTTGTTTGGTAACAAAAATTGAAATAGGTAAAGAGAAGTAAGGGGAGGTAGGGAGAGGTAGGGTTACCTCTGAACAGTGTATTTTGGATGACCGCCAATTTGGCGAAACATCGAGGTAATCAACTATCCGCTACCCTTCGGCCTTCACCCAATCGCACGAAAATCAATCAGCATCTTCCCATCGCCATCGCCATCTTCTTCCGGTTCCTATTGCCAAAGGTATTCTGATCGTCATCTTCTTCTGGTTCAATGTTCACTTTTTTTCAATCTGCTCTGCTTCGCCATAAATTTCAATTCCGCTGCGTAGTTAATTTTTTTTGTTTCAATTTCGATCGCCATGCTCCTTCGCAGCTCAATTCAGATAAGCTTTACATACTCCGTACTTGTTTTGTTCTGCTATGGTGGCGGCTATACTCTTCAATTTCTATAGCCATCTCCTTAATTTTTTTTGCACATCAATTTTTACTTTTTTTTTCAATTTTCAGATTGTTTTTTTCACTTTTCTCGTTCTGCTCTCAATTTTCACTTTTTTCAAAATTCAATTTCCAAATTTTAATTTCATCTGCATATTACAATTTGCACTTTTTTCAGTTTCCAGCTTTCTTTCACTTTTTTTTCAGTTTTCGTTTTTTTTGTTTCCCTTTTTTCAGTTTTCATTTCTCATCTTTTTTTCTGTTTTTTTGGTTTTTTTCTGTTCTTTTTTTGTGCTTTTTTCTGGGTTTTTCTCCTGTTTTTCTCTATAATTGTGCATTTTTTTAGTACTACGTTTTCTATAATTCTATTAGATTGAGTCCATACTAATTTTTTCTATAATTCTATTTCAGATTCATCTTATGCATTTAGTCCATACTAATTTTTTATTTAATTTAAATAAATTTTTTGACCGGAAAAACAAATAAAGAAAAACAACCATAAGGATATTTTAGTAATTTTATTCTTTTCCTACCTCACGTTACCTAATAAACATCCAAACACAATTTTTTAACTCATTACCTTACTTTACCTACCTTCAATTACCTACCTCCAATTACCTACCAATACCTACCTAATAAAACTTTTACCTACCTCCAACCAAACATACCCTAATAATGACACACGAACACCTCATAAGGCTGTATGATTGGAGGATGATGAACACGAGCATCCTGTCTGGTGGCAGCTAATGTGGGACAAGGCCTTCAAATTGATAGAGGAATTTGACAAGGGGAGTTTCATTTATAAACCTGATGCTGCAGCATACAACAAGTGTGTTACATACCTATGCGTACAATTTTGGTTGGATGGGGCTTTCCATTTGATTCCAGTAATGTTCAATAAAGGCATCACCCTAGATGCCATCACATACAAAATGGTGATTCGTCAGTGTTGTATGCTTAACCCTGTCATGGACAAGGCCTTTATTAAAGAAAGATTCGACAAGGCCAAGTGGTTGTTTACTGAGATGATGTCGTCGTCGTCGTCCAGATACAAAAGTGTGACACTCGATAATAATACGTTCCACAAATTAGTTGATTCCTTATGTGAGTATGGATTTGTAGAGGATGCCTTGCATTTGGTTCAACTGATAATCAACGAGCAAGGTGAGGGATCAAAAATACTTGATGCACACACTTGTAGATGTTTGGTAGGTGAACTTTATGGTCAAGGAAATGCAAGGTTAGCTGCAGATGCTCTAAAGGATATGGTAGCTCTTGGATATGTTGAGGCAGGGCCAACAGATGGTGTTTTTAGAGTTTTAGATGGTAGTTTGGTACCTAATTCCCTAGTTCACATTCTCGTGAAATCTGAGCTCGAGGTACGCCATATGCGTGAAAGGAATGCCGCTAAGTTTGGGCTGCCAGCATCAGACTCAGGGGACGACGACTACAGATTTTGGAGTGGTTTGTTTTCTTGTGTTATTATTTCAAAAGAATTATGTTTGCGGTTTGATTGTTTAAAACTTTTTATGTATGATAAATTGGTTGTTGCAGATGGTGTTTCATTGACATGGTTTTAAAAAAAAGATGAGAAGCGAGATACAAATGACGAGAACACAGATTGAAGGAGACAACAATCTCGTTGAGGCCGCCGACAATCTATTTGAGCAAGAACAGACTAACACTGTGACCACATGATGAAAAAACAGAGCATTGGGGCAGGCAAATCAGTGATGGTAAAATTGATTGTTGGTATTTCTTCTTCCCGGTGATTGTTGGTATTTCTTGTTTTTTTGTAGCCAAATCAGTGATGGTAAAATTGATTATAGGGACACATTTAGGAGTAGAGATTTTTTAACATAGATCACAAACATCATTTGTATTCAAAAAAGAAAATGGCATAATCGGGAGGTGAATTTAGTGGGCAGAGAGAAAATGCTCCCTCACAGAGTCGCAGTCAAATTTGCAACCACGGGAAGTAAAGGGTTTTGAGTTACGGGCAAATTGGTCATTTGAAGCTAAATAACTTATCATAAATAAAAAGTGGACAAAAATAGTGGGATGACTTAAAAAAGAAAATGGACAAAAACACTAGGAAGGAAGGAGTAATAAAAAAAGAGAAAAATAGAATCCACCATACCAAATTCTGTCACCGAAGGGACTGTTTTGCTTCTAGTTATTCCATTCTCGTGTTGCGTTGGAAATTATATGCCGGGCAAAAGTTGCTTTGACACCAACGATTTCCATCTAGTCACACATGCCCAATGCAACTTTTTGAATGTGTAATCTTTCCACTGGTTGAACTTCTTTTGCAACTTTCATCATATCCTGAATCACAATCTCAAACATATAATGAGAATGCACTGAACGATAAAATAAATTTTCAGCTTCAACAAGCTCACCATTTTCAATAAGCCCCGACATCATATATTGTGTCGTTATCGTGTTGAGCTTTCAGTAACAAGCTGAAATACTCCTCCATCTCCAAACCAGAGCCCCTTTCTTCCAACATCAAATTTATTCTGTAAAAATAAGTCAAATCATTACCGAGAAAGGCTCCCAACATCAGTTTAATAAAGATTTTTTCTTCAACTTGACCTAGTACTAACATTAGCTAAAGAAAAAACTCTTATTAAACTGATGTTGGGAGCCCTTCTCGATAATGATTTGACTTATTTTTGCAGAATAAATTTGATGTTGGAAGAAAGGGGCTGGTTTAGAGATGTGGGAGTATTTCAACTTGTTACTGAAAGCTCAACACGATAACGACACGATGTCGGGGCTTATTGAAAATGGTGAGCTTGTTGAAACTATAAATTTATTTTATCGTCAGTGCATTCTCATTATATGTTTGAGATTGTGGTTCAGGATATGATGAAAGTTGCAAAAGAAGTTCAACCAGTGGAAAGATTACACATTCAGAAAGTTGCATTGGGCATGTGTGACTAGATAGAAATCGTTGGTGTCAAAGCAACTTTTGCCCGGCATATAATTTCCAACGCAACACGAGAATGGAATAACTAGAAGCAAAACAGTCCCTTTGGTGATAAAATTTGGTATGGTGGATTCTATTTTTTCTCTTTTTTTATTACTCCTTCCTTCCCAGTGTTTTTAGTCCATTTTCCTTTTTAAGTCATCCCGCTTTTTATTTATGATAAGTTATTTAGCTTGAAATGACCAATTTGCCTCTAACTCAAAACCCTTTACTTCCCGTGGTTGCAAATTTGACTGCAACTCTATGAGCGAGCATTTTCTCTCTGCCCACTAAATTCACCTCCCCATTATGCCATTTTCTTTTTTGAATACACAAATGATGCGTGTGATCTGTGTTAAAAAATCTCTGCCCCTAAATGTGTCTCCATGATCAATTTTACCATCACTGATTTGGCTACCAAAAAACAAGAAGAAATACCAAAAATCACCGGGAAGAGGAACTTCTGTAGTTCATTTCCACCATTTCCTACATTCTTGGACCTGTTAGTTTCAAGCCATCTCTTCTTGCACGAGGTCCCTTTTAGGGAATCACTCTTACAAGCAGAAACTGATGAAGCATTAGCATCCTTAGCGCGACTGAGTTCCACTGAACTTTCCACATGCATTCATCATTAGGAGCTATATGTGTGAGAGCGATATATTAAGATCCCACGTCAAGTTTGATGGGAAAGTATAAACCCCACTTAAATAATAAACCACTGAGATATAAATTTCTAAGTAGATTAAAGAAAAACCATTCATTTCTAATTTCTTCACAGGAACAATTCATTACTATATATGGGTCTTACATACTTCCTATTATAAATGTTACATTAGTAGCTACACTATGGGAATCTTGGTTGAGGAATCTAACCTTACTTCTCTTTTGTTGCGCATCCTCAGATATGATTGGCAAAGTCTATGGGTTTTGAGCATGAAGGAAGATGATATAGGTACTTGAGATAGCTAGCTAGCTACTGCTCTCACCCAACTACACTAAACAAAGACAGAGTAACTTTTTATATATGCTCTTACTGAAATAGACTAATTATTTGCTAAATCCATACGCTTTACACAACAAAGAAAACATATATAATCACCAATTCAAAAAGAATTTACCATATTCAGTATCCACTCAGTATTATGGAATTAGATGTACAATTGTCTTTCCTTATTATTCTCACTCTATTTCAAGAAAGTTATTACGGAGTATTATTTTTCTCCACCCTGTATAATGAACTTTCCCCATACAATTTTCTTCTCAAATTAGAACATTTTTCTATCATGATTTACTCTCTTATTGTTCTATAGTATGAGTGCGCTCACCTTTTTAAATAGAAAATCACCATATCTTTTGCTTCTAACAAATGCCATTCTCTTTCAAACAAACAAAAAAATGCCATAATATGTTCCGTGTAATTCAGTGAGAACTTCATTTTTTGTCATAAAGCATATACGATTACTTTTTCTTGGTTTAATATAGTGAAATTCAGTGAGACTTGTTAATGCATTTGCACTTACAGAGAAATTTAGTGAACGATTTAAGGCTAATAGCACGGGTGTCAATGTGGTTTACAAAAGGAGCACCAAAACTCCATCTGTTTTCGAATATTATTTTTAAAACCCACGTTGTTTCTAAATGGTGCACCCACGCCCCATAAACCTATTTTCAAACTTAAAATTACATGTATGTCCCTTTTTCCAATCATGAAGTTTCTCTTTTATTTACAATTCTCCTTCGTTATAGAAACAATTAAAATAACATACACGCTCTCCATCTCAAATTTTTAAAGATATTATTCATTTATTTTTCAAAACAAAATAAATTTTTTTACATACAAAAATGAAAAAAAACAATCCATACAGAGTAAAAGAAAAAGGAAATAAAAAAGATAGCAAAAGAAAAATAAAAAACACTACGTTTTTTATTTCAATTAAAATTGAAATAAATTGTCCTTTTTGAAAGTGAAAAATAAATTAAGAGTGAAACTCCATGATAGAGAGAAAGAATGACATAAATGTCACTTTAAGGGACATGAGTCATAATCTCGTTATATTTAAAATAAATCAATTGTCCACTTGAAGAGAGTATAAGTATCCCACATAAAAATTTGTAAAGAAAAAGCAATTGGTATATACGGAATAAATTTTTGAGTTGAACTAAATTAGAACACCGAGTACTTTTCTTCAACACCAGGATTTTTTGAGCGGAAGTAATTTGACCTTAAAATCACCTAAAGGACCTACAATGTTGTATCGGTAAAATTGATTGTTCATACCCCCTCCACTTTGCCCAAACCCCAGCCCCCCTACCCCTTAGATTGCTGATTTAAGCTACCCAAATCAACGATCTAATAAGATAAAAATTATCAATTTTATTAACAAAAAATAGTAGGTATCCTAGCCCAAGTTGTTCTCAAGTCATTTTTTATTCGGGTCAAAAGTCCTCTCTCTAATAATGTGCGCCAAAAATGAATTAAGTAAAAAAATACTACCTCTGTTCCGCTATATTTGTCCACTTTAGACTTTTAGAACTGTTCATCTAAGCACTTTGACTCATCAAATTCTCTCTATGTGTAAGCCTAAATATAGTCATGTATGATCTTTTTTTATTTGTCTTAACATATAAATTATTAATATATAATATCTATAATTTTTTAATATACAAATTACAAGATAAAATGGATTAAAAAAGTGCATTGGATGGTGTGCAAAAATAAAAGTGGACAAATACTCTGGGACAGAGGGAGTAAATATTTACTCTCTCCGTCCCAATATATTTGTCAAGTTTGACTTTTTCGAGTCAAACTAGACAAACTTTGAGCTTCAATTAAATAAAAATTGTAATGTAATTTAACATAAAAATGACGTTATTAGATTTATTGTATTGAGAAGTTTCAAAATTGTATTTCATTATGCAATATGCAATATAAATTGAGAGTAATTGGAGTTCAAAGTTTGTCCAGTTTGACTCGAAAAAATCAAACTGGACAAATACACTGGAACGAAGGTAGTACTAAATAATAGTGTCCCTTCATCCAACCCTCCCACAAATTAGATAAATCAAGGCACTTATGTGAGCTTAAAAAACTAAGACTCGCTCGAAAAAAGTCAAATTAGATGAATATCCAGGAATAAGAGAAATGAATAAATAATACTAGTAAAAACAAATTGAGTTCGAGCATTACTACATAGAAGTATTTTTATTTCAGAGATTGAACACAATGACAATATCTCTCTCCACTAATAAAAACCAATGAAAGAAGAATGTATGCTCAAACCGCCACAGCTGTGTTCTCAACCACCAGTTTCTGAGCAGAGGTGTCGCCATCAATGGAAGCAGCAGGAGGCGCCGGTGGTGGTGGTGGTGGTGGGGTGGCTTCATAAGCGGCATCATGGATGCCGAGTGCAGCACGGCCAGAGGGGTCGGGATTCTTGGACCACGATGCATCCCATTCTACAGCCTTTGCAGTGCTACATGCCACACTTGGTCCTCCCGGAACCGTTGATCTCGCAGCATTCTGATGATCAATTAAATCCATTCCCAGTTCATAAATTAACCCAAAATGTGATGAGAGATGGTGGGGCCGGGGCAATGTTTACAAAACCAGACCGGGCAGTCGGTCAATATGATTCAATTCAATATCATTCAGTCAAGTCTAGTTCAGATCAGCACCTATAAGTTCAGCTCAATATCGCTCGTTTCAATCAAGTATTATGGTTCTGGTTCTTTTGACACCAACCTTGATGTCATAATACGACACCCTGTCCCTTTGAGAGCCATATGGCGCTTTGTTTGACCCAATCAAGTATTAATATTTTTATGAATGTTTAGTTCAGTATAAGTTTTACGGAGTATTCATTTCAATATTTGTAAGTTCAGTTCAGTACCTATTAATTCATTTCAATTAAGTCAAGATAAACTAAATAACTACTCCGCATAAATGAAATTCAGATAAGTTCAGTATCCCAAATTAAATACTCCGTACCAATAATATACGGAGTATACTTTTCAAAATAACTTTTGGCACGTAATATAAATATAGTGACCAGTCCGACCAACGTTAGATGTGTTTATACCCAGCCTTTCAGGTCCGACCAATATTGTTGTTTTATTCCGAGGTCGAAAGAAGCTGGGTTTTCCCTACTCCCAGACAGGTCATAGTGACCAGTCCCCGAGTTTTCCAATGCAACCAGCAGGGTTGGTCTGGGTTTTTAAGACATTAGTAGTGATAGGACTAAGGAGTGATGGAGAAGACTGTAAACCCTACCTTTGGGTAGAACCTCTCAAAGATTGTCCTATAATAGTATCCTTCTTTCGTCGTTGGGGTATTCTCTGGGTAAACAAAGCTTGCATTTGCCAACATTGCATCGGAAATCTGTAATTTTAAATATAATAAAAAAATGTTTACCAAAATCAGAAAAAATAGAAGAGAATGTGTTCTGGAAATGGAAAATGCTACTTTAACCATATGGATGACACCAAGGTTAACACTTAACACTACCAGAGACAATCACGGAAGTCATTGTCTATGAGAAATCATTGTCTGGCAGTGTAAACCTTAGTGTTATACATGGTGTGACTATAGCATGACCCAAATGCTACTCTAATACTTTAACCCCAAGAATGACACCACCCGACAAACACGCATAGACAATCACTGAGAAATCATTGTCTGTGAGGAGGTAACAACCTCGGTGTAATCCGTAATCTGACTTTAGCATGACACTTTAGAAATAGGGAAGATGAATTCTTACAAGTGACTTTGCATGATCCTTCAAACCATCAATCCAACTGTACCCAACTCCATCGCTAAATTGCTCCTTTTGCCTGTATAGGATGTGCTGAAAGCACCAAAACAGCAAAAAGCTTGACCCACAAAAATCAAGTCAAGGTATGTGTGTGTATGTATATATGAACTTGAAGGACATGTGATAATAAAGCAATACATCAAGGTTTTAATGAAAGCCTCTGTTTTTTAATATACAAATGTAAGGTTGTGTACATCTTGGCCTACAAACCCCCAACATTTTGTTACGAAGGGGGTGACATCTAATGGAAGCCTATTTGTTTTTTACAGAGTTATGTATGAACATGTTGATGATGTTGTTGGTGCTTAATAAATAAATGACTTTGTGACCTTTTATATACGGAGTAATTTGCATAACTCATATGCTTACTAGAAGTTATAATTTTGGGTTTTGTTGTTGCTGTGCTTTAAGGAATTTGTACATGACTTTTTGTGTTCTTTGATACTCCCTCCGACCATTTATTTTCTTCCCACTTTCCTTTTATGGGTGTCCGCAAACTTTCTTCCCATTTCCTTATTTGGTAAACAATTTTAGGTCAAATGTCCAACTTGCCCTGAAAATCAAACCTTGTCCCCCAACAAACCCTTCTTTATCGTCCACCCTTCTTCCTCCTCAACCATATGTTCCATTCCTCCATCATTGCCTCGAGCTGGGACGCCGCCTTGAGCATTGTCACCTCCATCATCGGCTCGAGCATCGGATGCCACCTTGAGCATCGGATGCCTTCATCATCACCGCTTCCAACCTTTCAATTGTATTCTGAATCTTCTTTTTATAAATCAATTTTGTGTTACTTAGGAATCTACACCCTTCACTAGTTTTGTTTCAAACTACCTGATTGTAAAAAAAATTGATTTTGCCAGTCGGCTGCCATCGTTTCCGATCACAAAAAATGGAAAATGGGATACTGTTGGATGTGCGGGGCGGGGCAGGGGGGATATTATGGACATGGGTAATTTAGGAAAGTCAATGCAAATCTCACCTTTTCTTTATCTACATGCCAGTCACAAAGTGGGATGAAAATAAATGGATGGAGGGAGTATAACTGAAATAGCTCATATACCTCCTACAAGATAACTTTATATTTTGAAATGCTCCCCATCCCACAAAAAAAAGAAATTGCTCTTTCTTTTATGACATGTTCCAAAGAAAGCTTCACACTTCCCCCATTTCCTTTTGAACAAAGAACTATGTGACCAGAAAACTTTCTTCTAATAAATTATAATGAAACATTTTTCAATTCTAACACTTTCTTTAAATTACGTTAAAGTCAAACAATGAATTTGTTTATGGGGCTAAGGGAGCAATAAGGAATTAAATACTCCCACCCACCAGGATTTTCCTGTGTAACTTTTATATCAAACCAATTGACCTTTGACTTTGTAAATATCTTTAGGAAAATGATTTATAAAATATCTTATGTTAAATAAAAGTACGAATCTATAACTTCCACTAAAATATGTCAACTGAAAAAAACAATCACAATTCGAACCTAAGGAACATCTTATTGGAACGGGGGAAGTAGTTAATACTTCCTCCGTCCCAAATTAAATTGCCCATTTTGGTTTACGATGTTTGACTGGCAATTCAATTTGTTTGAGAATTGGGCTGGAATTAAAAGTAAATATGTATTTAAAATTACATTAAAAGTTCTACGAAACAAGAGATGTCATGACTATTATCTTATCAAATGAGTAACGAACATAGGTCAAGAAAGTGAATGAAGTTAACAGATAATTGAAGTTATACCCCCATCCGCGCCGCTGGTTATTGCCAACCTCTAGTGTTGTTATTACACTAGAGGTTGGCAATACCGAGAAGGAAAGAGAAAGTACATTTTATTATAAATTATATTGTATGAATTTATGATAGTTTCAGAGAGAATCCCAACAAACCTTTGGCAAATAAGGTTCTTTATCATCATCAAAAGCATTGCGTAGAACCCACTTTTCGATTCTTCCAAGATCAGGCTTCACCTGTGTTGTATTCAGTAAGATGAGATGCAGACAAATAGATCATCATCATCCCTTTTATCCGAACAGCAGATAAACATATGTAGATCAAAAAGAAAACTTTCCTTTCACAGATTGATTAACATGTGTAGTTATAAATTTATAATCAATCAAATAGTACCGCAGTAAAGATTCCGGTCAGCTAAATTGCTAAAACATCTATCCTTCAACATAAAAGAGCTACTTTATATTTTATACATGCATTTGGTCTACTCCTCAGTGTAGAGGCAAGGTTTCCGTACATCTTTGCCCTCCCACCTGGCCATACTATTGAGTTGGATTTTCTGGATTTGCTTGGTTTGGCAATGTAAAATAGGAAACTTTTTTGCAACAAAAACAAAACTACGGACATGACACTTTATTGGGTAGTAGTAATAGTAGTACTTGTAGTATACTTTATTTTTATTTTAACTAAATTTAACATATTTTACCGGTTAGTTATTTTCTACTCCCTCCGTCCCAAAAAAATCTTTATAATTTTGTTTTTTGGATGTCCCGAAAGAAACTTTATACTTACTTTCTTCCCTGTTTTGGTAATGAATTTCTGGCAACCAACAATTCTCTCCTCTAAACAAATTCTAACCACATTTTTTACTTTTCAACAACTTTCTTAAACTCCATGAAGTCAAACTGTCTGAAATTTTATGGGATGGAGGGAGTAATATATTGGATAAAATACAAATTAGCTTCATTTTTGTTTAAAAATTAGGACTTTTTTCTGAGACGAAGAAGTCTCCAAAGAGGACTCTTTGTGGGCAGGAGGAGTATTAAATACGTAGTAAAAATGAAAAATACTTGAACGCTTTATTTTTCATTCCCACTAGCAATACCAAGCAGTGAATACTTAATTTAATTACATAGTATTTGGGAGTGGGAAACTTAAGTACATGAACTTACCATTTTCCATTCTGGGTCGATACTCATTGCAATGTTGATGAATTCTTTGTCCAAAAACGGAACGCGGGCCTCAACACCCCAAGCAGAAGTTGACTTATTGGCTCTCAAGCAGTCATAAAGATGCAGAGCTTTAATCTGGTTTTGCAAGGAGAGAAATTATCATACGAATTCCAAAGAAAAGACCTTAATGGGAGAAAGTTCAAGAGAAGAAGTTTCTATGATGAGTAGAACACCTTTTGACAAGTTTCCCTGTGAAATTCCTCTTTGTTTGGCGCCTTATGGAAATATAGATAACCGCCAAAAATCTCATCAGAACCTTCTCCAGATAGAACCACTTTCACCCCAAGAGATTTTATTTTCCTTGACATGAGAAACATTGGTGTACTGGCTCTGATCGTTGTCACATCGTAAGTTTCAATGTGGTATATAACTTCCTCAAGTGCGTCTATTCCTTCCTGATGTAGCAGTAATACCCAAAAGTAAAATAAAATGAGGCAAGGTATGTGTGGTTATAAAAAAGTTAAGAAAGCGGAAGATTGAACTAGACTGAACTGAAAAGTGCTTAACTAAACTGAAGTAAAACTAGGAAATGTTAGTTATAATTTCTAACTGAACAGAACTAGAAAGTATTGAACTGAACTTGACTGCTTATAAATTGAAAAGAACAAACTCATAAAGACATGCAGAGAGAGAGAGAGAGAGAGACCTGTACGGTAAAATAAAACTCATGGTGACGAGTCCCAAGGTAATCTGCCACTTCTCTGGCAGCTATCAGATCAGGAGAACCCTAAGTGAAAGGTAGAAAGAGTCTTCAGATAGGTTTAAAAGTTAACATCTTAATAACATGTTCGGTTCATGTTAAAAAAAATATTTAACATCCTAATAACATATTTGCTTGGTTATATATTCCCAAGAGCTATTATATTCCGATTGCAAAGGGAATTCAGATTCCTGCTCTGTAGAACTACGTAAATGTTCATTTTATAAAAATAAAATGCTAAATTTAAAAAGTAAATTACAAATTTTATTCCTTCGTTCGGTTCACAAAAGAAAATATTAACTAAAGAAATTTAATAAGAGCTCATAACTCTTTTTTATTACAGGCCTCTTAGGGACTATTATCCATATCCCCTTCAAACCAATACCTTCAAACCAATGCAAAAAGTATGCAACTGTGATCCCCATTGACATGCTGCTTCATTATTGGCTAAATAGCGGTTAGCCACAGCAGCAACTAGGGATGAATCCAGTCCTCCCGACAGAAGTACACCGAAGGGCACGTCTGTCATTAGTCTTTTGACCACTGCCTGCATAGATTAAGAGGCAAAGTCAGTGATTAGCAATCCTACATTGATCCAGCAGCATAAGATGATATTACATAAAAATTATAACTTATCTTCCCCTAAATTGTTGTTCAGTTTGATTGGGCAAGAGATCTATTTTGTGGTAGAGATTTATTTAGAAGGAAGAAAATGTTATGAACCACATATTGCTTTCTTTAAAAGAAAGTGGATGAAGGTTTAGGGACAAATGAAAAAAGGAAAGTAGGGAGATAATTTAAGGAAGTCATACCTTGCCAAAAATTAAAACTTTTAAATGAATCATACACATATTTTAAAAATAATTTGTTGGTTTGATAAAGTTTAGCATATGTAACTTGTACGTAACTCTTCCAAGGCCATTCTTATGGGAACTTACATGGAATATCAGCTCATTAGGCTACACTTTTGTGTTGGGGTGTGGAGAGGGGGTTGGGACAACAACAATACCCCAGTGCCTCAACGGCACTGGGGTAGGAATTAATACACCATCCGTCCCGCTGGGTTTTGCCAACCTTTAGTGTATTTACACAATTCCACTAAAGGTTGGCAAAACCCAGCGGGGCAAAGTAACTGAGTCAAGTAAAATGTACACCGTAACTAGATACTACAAAATTGATTACATCAGAGGATAAGTTCATAACACCCATACTTTCTCAAAAGGGGTTAAGAACAACCAAAATACTCTGTAATAAATATAGAACTGCAGGGAATATGACACTAGAAAATCTATAGCAAATGCACCTTCTCAAAAGCCTTGCGTAAGAGAAGAGGATCATATGGAGTAGATGGAATGTGCTCCGAAAACCATGGTGGGTTGTACCATCTTCTGAGTCCTCCTGTTTGCAAATAATGTTGACTTGTTGAGAAACTAATTTAGGCAGCAACTGACTTAAATCCTGTTAAACTACTATCCGTATCAAACTAAATTGAGTAACATCCATTTAAAATGTGCACACCAGTTTTGCTTGAATATATATGTCCAGGAAGGAAACTCATGAAACGCTCGCAATCATCACTTAAAGCTTTCATTTCTGAAGCGAACCATACAGAACCTGCAGAGAAGGCCACAATTGAAAGAACGAATGCAGTAGTAAATGCATCTGACTTTGTCTGGTTGCAACAATAATTGGGTATCTTACTACGCCTTTTTCTTGTTAAGGTGAAATATGAGAAAAAGAGAGGGGGGGAAAGTAAGAGTGAAATGGAGAATTTGCTTTCTTCTGTGAGAAGAAAAATGGCAGAAATGGGAAAGAGAGAAATGATAATGATGAGTGCAATGATGAAAATGCCCTGACATTTTTGAAATTTTCATTAAAATTTCCCTAATTTGAAGTCTCGAATATAGACTATAGAGGTCCATATGGGGCAATAGAAGTTCTCTAGAATCTCAGAGAAAAATCAGAAAATGCAAAAACATACTCCCTCCGTCCCCAATTTGATTACAAATTGCGGGTTACGGAGTAAAATTTCCTACTTTTTGAAATCATTTTATTTACAAATTGGTATATCAATAAGTTATAAAAATTACATATTAAAAAACTACGTCAAAAGTTCTACAAAATAAGAGGTGACAAGAATATTTTATTTTATCAAATACTTGATGAAATCGCGTAAACAAACAAAAGTTATCGAGAGGAGAGAAAAAAAAAAATTGTAATCAAATTGGGGACGGAGGGAGTATAATAGAACAGAGAAATATTGTGAAATATTGAAATATATCTCAGACATGTTGATAACTTACAAAATGTAGTTTTTGAAATAAAAATAAATGTTGTTGTTCTTGGCTTTTTGTGCTTGTGTTTCCTCCACTGTAGGTGTCTTTAATTTATGTGTGCTATCTGTGTTACTTGAGTCGGGGGTCTCTTGGAAATTATCTCTCTACTTTCGGGTAAGAATAAGGCCTGCATACACACACTCTTCCCAGACCCTAAGCTCAAGGGGCTCAATTGGGTTGTTGTTGTCTTAACCGTGGGTCTCCTTTTTATTTCTGCTCTCTTATAGAGAAAATATGAAAAATGACTTTCTGTCTAATGCATATTCATTTCTTCTCCATTTCCCCCCTAAAAAGAACAAATAAAATCTACCCTGTTTTCTATAATCTCTCTCCATTTTTTTTTTCATTTCACTCTTCTCCGTTTATTCCCTAAACCAAACAAAGAGTCAAAGACGAACTGCTTAAGCTTTGGAAAGATAAACTGTGACTAAGTGAGATAGAGCATACCATCAAGGCCCCATCCCAAGTAAAGAGGCGTAATACCAATAGCATCCCGGGCAGCAATGAAACTGTTATTGCGGGTGTCAAGAAGCACAAAAGAAAACATTCCATCCAGCATATCAATGAAGTCTTCTCCATATTCCTCATACTGGAATAAATAAAGATGGCATATTCAATCAACAAAAATAAAAATAGATTAATAAGAGAGCTTTTGAAATGCTTCATTTTAAAGAACTGATTTATAGTGAAAGAAAAGTACTTGTACTAATTTAACGGGAACATGTAAAAGGTTCTTTTAACAGTTAACAACTCATTTTTTGATACAACAATAATAAACCTGTTTAATGCTTACTTAAGTAAAAGTTTGGTGCTTTACAAATATATATCAAGTGCTCAAGCAAGAAAGCGTGTGTGATAAAAGCACAAATACCATGATTTATCACAAAGAGGCTCTAAATGAACTAGATTGCCTAATTCCAGATCTAATATATACAAATTCCCTCCATCCCATACGAAGACTCATGTTCTGAACTTATTTTGGTCCCCAAAAGAGTGAAATTTGAACAAATAATAATAATAATAATTATCTTCGTATTTAATGTTTTTGTAATAACAAAAGTGTCTCAAACAAGTTGAGTAATAAAGTTTAATTACACAACCAAATAAAGTTTAAAAAAAGCTATATCTGATAATATTGAATGCATGTACTGTACCTTACCAGAATCTAAAAATTGTATATTTGTAAAGACTCTTTTAATGGGAAGGAGAGGCTAACAACTAACAATTATTCATGTTTGATTGATTAGATGAAATTATACAGAAAATCTTGCAGAGTACTTACAAGATGGGCAATAACTTCACAATCACTACCAGTATGGAATTGATGAGATGTAAGCTTTTCCCTCACTTCTTTGTGGTTATATATCTCTCCATTGACCTATGAGCAAGATGAATGTTGATCAAGCTTGACAATATGTTAATGGGGAAAATAAAAAAAATTAAGTGATCATGAGGTTTATTAGAAATAAGAAAATATTCCCGTTGGTAAACTAGAAAGGATCATGTGTTGGCTCAAGTATCCAATTATCCATAAAATCCACTAACATGTGATGTGAGTATGTGACATAGTATACATTTTCAGTGAGCCTCTGCAGATATTAAGGAAAGTTTGCTAAATTGCTAGTAATCAACTTAACAGTAAATCAGTAATGCAAAATAGAATATATCAAACAATGAACTAAAACAACTATTATTAAGTTCATTTCAAGTCGTATCATTGAGGCTAGGATGGGGAAGAGTGTGCATTTCCGAGAATCAGTTTGGTTTCATGCTTGGCCAGTGAACTACGGAGGTCATTCACCTCCTGCGGAGGTTGGTGGAAGAATATAGGGTTAAGAAGGACATCCACATGGTGTTTTTTGACTTGGAGAAGACGTACGACAGGGTGCCGTCGTGCCGACGTAGATCTTGTGGAGGTGTCTAGAGTTCAGAGGGGTTCCATTTGTGTACATTTGTGCAGTCAGAGATATGTATGTCGGCAAAGTCTCTCAGTGATTTTTCTGACCCCTTGGTGATGGATGTGTTGTCGCAGGTTGTATTGATCAAAGAGACTCGTGTGGGACTCAATGAAAAGTTAGAAAAGTAGTGTCATTCTCTCGAATCCAAAGGCTGCTTCAGATTGAGCAGGACTAAAATTAAGTATATGGAATGTTGCTTCAGTGGTCGGCAATGTTTTTAAAACCGGACAGAACCGACCGGTCCAGCCGGTTGGGTAGCGACCTGGACACGGATCCGGTCCAGTTCAACTAGTGAACCCGTTTTCCCAAAAATCGCCCAACGCCCCAACCCCATCAGATCAGACCTGGCCAACCAGGTGACCCGGGTCAGTTCGTCCAGGTTGCGGGGTTGGGTCCAAACCCCTACTTTTTAATTTTCTTTAAAAAATGAAATGGAGGCCGGGAGAGTCAAACCTAAGACCAATAAAAAACCCACACAAGGCTCAACCATCGGAGCTAGTCCATCCTTTGTTTACACATTTATGCAACGTGTTATATTACTTATATATGGGTTGCTTAATATATGGGTTTATATTTAAAAATATTTCCAATAAAGAGAGTCATGCTTATGCAATATATTTATTTTATGAACTTCTAAATATAAATAATTAATATCTAGAAAAACTATTTTCATCTTTAAAAATCTAGTACTACAAAGCGATATTTACTAATTCTAATATAATACTCCTTCCGTCCCATATCTTTCTTCCCATAGTACTATTCCAACTTCACGGAAATTTTTATTCATTTGCATTTTTTCATGGCCTGTAAGATAAAATAAAATATTCTTGTCACCACTTGTTTTCTTGAACTTTTGATGTAGTTTTAAATATGTAAATTTTATTTTTTGATTCTATACCAATATTAAAATAAAATAGATTGAAAAAACTTGGGGTTTTTCTTCGTTTTGCGCAACAAAAAGAAAGATATGGGACGGAGGGAGTATGTTACGATTTATTTTCTCCTATTCTTTCTCTTTTCAATCAAATAAATATAATTTTAAAATGTTATATAGTATATAAAAACACATTAAAGTACATGGAAAACTGAACAAATATGGATTAAAATACTTTTATTAATTTAAAATATCTACTTGAGTGGTGGTTCTCTTGGAAACATCTTCTCTACTTTCATGTGGGATTATATTGGGATTGTTGTTGTACCAACGACCAACGATAAGGAATCAGCATTGAAATGCTAAAATAGAAGAAGATTAAGAACACTTCCTTTAACATCTAAAAATACTATAGTCAAGTGAATGTTTACTTACCGTGACAACGATCGTTTTGTCTTCATTGTACAGTGGCTGATCACCTGAGGCAGGATCAATTACTGCTAGTCGTTGATGTGCTAGATAACAATCACCATGACAATGCAATCCACTCCAATCAGGTCCTCTGTGGCGTAACCTACAATTATCAAGTATCGTATAACACAAATGTCAGGAATATTTCAATGTCACACAATCTCAATAATGATATGTCATTTTTCTATGAAAAGTGTACATAAAATGACAATCATACAACAGCCACAACAACAACCCAATCGAATCCCACAAGAGTAAGGTATGGGAGGGTGTGTGTACGCAGACCTTATCCTACTCGAAAGTAGAGAGGTTTCCAAAGAGATGAGCACTGAAAGTTGCATTGATTGACTAACTGTTACTTTTTTTTATTTATTCCACCACACCCCAAAGCCAAAAAAAAGAATTTTTGGCTCCATCCGAGATGATGGAAAATGAAAAATGACAATCATATGTACCAAAATACCAAAACATATCTTCATTCTGCCAGAATATGACAACAAGCTTCATTTAGATACACAATCTACTACTTTTATCCCCAAACCCAAGCACATTCTTTACTTTGGGCACATTTGGTAAGGGTTACTACGTATTTGTCTTCTACTAAACATTATGGAAGAAAAATGTTCGGTAAACTTGATTTCGTCGAGATAAGTCAAAGACGAATTGTTCTACTACATACTACGTAGTACATACTAGGCTGCTACCAAGCATCTCCATTTTTCTTTTCAGACTTTTTTACTTAGAATGACAGATCACATATCTAAAATGCGTATCCACCATCATTTACCAAAACAATAAACCTTCACGGTTAGAATCTTGCCATGAATTTGAGGCTAGAAATGACATAGTATTTGCAATACCTAATGGTGAATGGTGTCTTTTAAGGAGCTAAAAGTAATGTTCATCGCATTCGGGTATTATAAAAATGCAATTTCTAGCCAAAAGATGTTCTCACTAAACATGTCAACCAAAAATCATATCTTGGCATTCCTAATGTACGGACTACGGAGTATTATTATTAAGCTAAATGGAATAAAGAACATGACTTTGCCAAATGACAAATAAAATACACCCGAGCACCTTCCCATTATTAGTCATTTCCACAGGAACCGTTCAAATTAGAAACTGGCTAAAATGAATATAGCCTAGTCCATGAAAAATCACCTCAATACGAAACATCAATGTTTCATACACAGATGAACTCAAGCATAAACGCACACAGACATTGAAATGAAATGAAATGAGATCCAAAGCTTCGATGTACCTTCTAGAGAGCTCGACGATTCGGGACCGCTTCGCCTGAGAGTTGTCCGTGCAACCGAACACCGCAAGAATCCCGCACATTGTGGCGCCCCTCCCTCGCTCTCTGTATATCCGTACGCCGTGCGAGTCTATATGCTGTACGAGGAATCCTGAGGATGGCCAGTGAGGGAAGAGACGACGGGTTTGAATGAAATGAGAAGGTGGAGGATTGGGAAAAAAACGGGCGGGCGGCTAGACCCGATGAGTTTCAGAAGATTCCGGGTTATCTCGGGTTTAGGGTTTTAATATAAGTGCGGAAGATTCGAGCTGGCGGGTCCCATCTCTGCGGATCTTTAGGATCTTCCGCAGCATTTCTCTGAATTTTCTTCTTACAAAAAATGTTCAGAAAACTGCTCTTATGTATCTCATATTATGATAAATTAACTATCGGATACCTTATATTTTCAAAATATACTCCGTGGTACCTTCTATTTTGAAAAACTAACTATCGGGTACCTCACATTCTTAAAATATTCTCCGAAGTACCCTCTATTTTGAGAAACTAACTATCGGGTAGCTCACATTTTTAAAATATATTTCAGGATACCTCCAAATATACATTAATTTTACGCCTCCAAAGTATTGAATTCAATTTTTCTTCAAATTAAAAAGATCTTGATTACTTTTAAAATTCCAAACCCCTATTTCTTAAAATTAATGGCGTAAAATTAATGTATATTTGGAGGTATCCTGGAATTTATTTTAAAAATGTGAGGTACCCGATAGTTAATTTCTCAAAATAGAGGGTACTTCGGAGTATATTTTAAAAATGTGAGGTACCCGATAGTTAGTTTCTCAAAATAGAAGGTACCTCGGAGTATATTTTGAAAATGTGAGGTACCTCGCAGTTAGTTTCTCAAAATATGGGGTACCCAAGAGCATTTTTCTGAAAAATGTTTGAGATATCTCCAACCAAAACACACAAAAAAGTTGGAGCGATGACGAACCAAATCGATCCCGAAATTTTTTGAAAAATTCTAGATTATCGAATTGAAAAGTACTAAACCAACAAAAATTGATAAGATACTTAATGTAGTCATTTCAACAAAAATATTTTAAAATAATATGTTTATGTCACTTCTTATATTAAAAATAATCCACTATAGTTTTTAAAAATATACTATATTTGTTCCAAAGTACTTCGCATTTGTTTACACTCGTCAAAAAATAACCCGACCTATTTTTGACCCAAAACCCGACCTGAAAACACTAGATTTTAAACAAAGGTTTTGATGACCGAACCTGAAGTTGACCGAACCCGAAATGACCCGCTAAAAATGGGTCAAACCCGTCCGCACCCAAACCTGACCTGACCGACTTGCTAAGATTAACCTGAAAATGAAACTAGACAAATCCCCGAGAACGGAGAGAATAAATTTTATTTTAAAAATTTGTACCATCATCGTGGTTCGTAATTTTGTATAAGAAAATCAATTTCGGAGTTTCTCTATTGACTTGAGTTGTAGGAATCTGACTTCCCAATATTTATGGGGAGTCTCACCCAGGTTTGTGTTCAATGGAGGTATTGGCTCAAAGTGCATTATTAAGTTGAGAAAATATGAATAAATATTCCGTATTATATTATAATCGAGTCAATAACTCTCAAAAAATTGAAATGTAATAGCATGAGAGTGATTTAACTTGTAAAAAAAGATTCATGTTTGACTTTATACGAAGACTTTGAAAAAATGAAATTGTATGATTACAATTGTTACAGAGAAAGTGATTTTTTAAGGTGAACAAGAGATAATGTAGATTTTTAGCAAAGAGAAGAGACTATCATGAAAAATAATACCCATAGATAGGAATAAATTACCATCACAATACCAAACTATGAGTATATTATTTTTCTCTTCTAAATTAAGAGCTTGTTACTGTGATGATAATATAATAGTTTAAATAGTGACAATATGATGGTGGAGTTCTGGTGACCCATGGTGGCGCTTTGGCGACCCATGGTAGGGCTTCGATGGCAGCGAGAGTGGCAATGCAAACTCTTATTTGGGTCACAAAAAGAATAGTACTCTTATTTTTGTATTTTATCATCTTTCACTCACATTTAAGCACTTCTCTTAAAAGAAATCATTCAAAATGAAAGCATAACATAGTCTTTATCTTGAAATAGGAGTGAATATCCCCAAAATAAAATTACTACAGCATAAAGCGTGATATTGTATATTGGCATTTCATAACGTCTTCTGATAATGTGAGGAGGGCGTTACTACCTCCTTCACGCTTGCTTCATCGTGTCGGCATTTAATATTTGAGGCGTGACCCATTTCTGCGTGGTGGTCTTCCCCATCCTGAAGCTGCTCTCTTTTTTTTTAAAAAAAAAATACAATCAATCAAAATAGTCTACACCTTTATCATATCACTTTTTAGTTTCGCCATTCTTTCGAATATCATAACACACATATTTTTATCACTTCACATCATTTTCTTTTACACACTGTCAAGTAGGGATGACAATTCAACGCGAACCCAATCTTAACCGACCCAACCAAACACTATAATGTCCAAACCCAAACCGAGAATAAAATAATCTGGACCTGACTCGAAATTCTTTTCTCGAACTTGTCATCGGGTCGGGTCGAGGTTGGGTCGAGTGTGTGTTTATTGTTCGGCACAACCTCATCTCTCTTGGTCATTACATTGCATCTATGTGTGTTTTCCATTCTCCTTATATGTCCTTTCTCACATATAAGGTCTATCTACTGTCTTGTTTGCATTTCTAACTAAGTAATCGTCTTGACAAGGTGTTACTATACTAATTATCCCATTTATAATTCTTTTTATAATTCTCAATCAAAAAATGAGACATAAAAGAATTTAAATTTATTTTTTTTAAAATTCTTGGAGTACGTCGAATCGGGTCGGGTCGGGTCGGGTTTTCGTTTAAAAGTCAGGTTTCGGGTTTAAAAGTCGGCTCAAGTTCAGATATATTACTATCTGCCCCGAATCCGACCCGTTGTCATACCTAGTGTCAAGTCCCCATCAAATTTGTCGTAACACATGGTCTAAGTGTATTATAAATTCTATTTTAAATCGATAAATATCTAGTGACAGCAGATTACGATGACACTCTGATACTACTATCATTTTAGACATTTTCAATGATTCATTTGTAAAATTGATGACAATGGAACCCCTTGAAAATAAGAACATAAAAATTTGAATAGTTGATTGTTGGAGTACTACTCCTTAGTAGATTTCACAACCTTCCACAGTCGTTAACCGAACAAACTGAAAATCACGGAAGAGGGATTCGTCCCTCCAATTACATCGCCCCATTTCTGCTTCGCTGCAGGCCCGATAACCGGTGATTCGACTCTCAGACGATGCCGGCGATCGTTCTCAAAGCTTCGAAATCGGGGACGGAGATTTCGAGTGCACAGAGAAGCTCGAATGTCTGGCTTTTCTCGCTGCTGCTTACACTCCAGTACGGTGCTCAGCCGCTCATCTCCAAACGATTCGTCCGGTTCGAATTCCGCCCTTTTTAAACTCTAATTTGGCTTTGTTTGGTTTGATCTAACTAGGTTTTGTTAACATTCTTATTATTTGCATCTGTACATTTGTCATCTCCCCCTTTATCAAATCTTTGATGCCCTTGTTTTAGCTTCATCTTCATAAGCTATTGTGATGATAGAATTCATATTTTGAAAGGTCGTTCAGGATGGTGAAGAAATAGAGGGACACAAAGTGGCAAAGTAAGAAAAGAAAATAAGAGAAATAGGTGAAAAAAAGAGTAAAAATGGAGAGGAAATATGTTGTTGGGTAGCCTACAATCTTACATTGAAGAAAAAAGAAATAGAAACAAAAATAAATATGTTCAACCCAACCCATTAGTATGGAGTTTTTCGGGAGGTGCCCAAAAATAAATTAGTAAGGACTTGGCCAAAGCAGACAATATCTGCCGGGTTTTTTGTTATTCTAAAAGTACACTATTACCATCACAACATTTTTACACTATAATGAGGAGAAAACTGAAAAAGTAACATAGTGATTTGAGGTTTTTTTTGTTAGTCTAAAAGTACATTGTTACAATTACAACATCTTTACCCTATAATAAGGAGAAAAAGTAACACGGTGAGTTAAGTGCATCCATCTTCATTTCTCATCACTTGGGCATGGAAATGAGGAGAATCAGGACCCTTTCCAAGTCCTTGCTATTATTTCCATTTTACCAAACTAAGAAAACATAGAATAATATGATTGAATCCAATCAATTAGATAATTTAAGACACGTTTCTTATAAACAAATTGGTTACTCTTTAATCTTCCAATGCGATTATGTGAGTTCTTAACATGTTAGATAGTGACAATATAACCACTTGACCATCTAATATTTGCTCTTCAGGAGGGAAGTGGTTGTAACATCATCCGTTTTAGCATGTGAAGCATTCAAGGTAATGCCTTCCTACATCTGAATTTTGATTTCTTAGTCTCCTCCATTCCTGTTGTTCTTCAGTGTATTTTCCCCGTGTTAATGGATAATAAGCTCTAATGCAATGCAACCAAATAATGAGAGTAATGTAGATTGTAGATTTATTTACTACATATCTACATTACACAAACATTTGATCACATTGCTCTATGTCTTACCAAACTATGGCTATATTTATAGTGGCACTGACATGCATCCTTATAGGTTACTTTTGCTCTTATTCTCATATCAAAAGAAGGAAGTCTGAAGAAATTGTTGAGGCATTGGACTTTGGTTGGCTCTTTGACAGCATCAGGATTACCGGCTACTATATATGCACTCCAAAATAGCTTATTGCAGATTTCATACAAAAATCTTGATTCACTCACTTTTTCAATTTTGAACCAAACGAAGCTGTTTTTCACCGCTTTCTTTGCCTATGTAATATTAAGGTATGCACCTGTCTTTTCATATTCTCCTTTTCTGCATCTGTGTTATGTTGCTACAAAAATGAACGTGCCATATAACCTAATAACCAATAATATTCAAATTCTCAACCTCCTTTTTGAAATCCTTTTTTTATTAAAGTGTGTGTATTATTATTTAGGTTAAGATCTTGTGGTCAAGTAGCATTACTGTAGCATTGACTCTTTGTGTTTTAGTAGGTTGAGAAAGTATGTATAGATAGATATTACATTGTAATAGATTTAATAGTATCAAAACAAAGAGTTCCACATGCTTGAATTGTTGAGTAATAAACTACCCCCTCTGTCCCTAAGTGATCTGCCCACTTTCTTAC